ACTCTGTCTCAAATTTAAACCTTTTAAGGGGCTAAAATTGCAGGCTTGATCCTAGAGCTTCAGGTCTGTAGTGCACTCTCATATGGAGGAGAAATATTTCATTCTTTCTAGGTACACAATAAACTTCAAACTATACTGCTAAAATCCTATCAAAATCACTCTGTCAGTACTGTCCAGGGGCCAGAGTTGGAAGCTGTTAAGAATATCTAGGACCTCTGCACCAGTAATACCTAATAAGGCAATTTTCCTGACACCACCCATTCTGTCTGCATCCACTGCAATCATACATAATGGGCACAGCTGACTCTTAGCCTGGTCACTAAGCAAACTCAGGTCTACTAGTGGCTTCAAGCCATTCATTTTTACTGGCTGGGTGTGTGAAGTTCTGGCATGTGAAATCACTGTGAAAATTCTTCCTGATGGGTCTCAAATCTATCCACTCCTGGTAGTATGACATGTTCTTTGTATTTTAATTTATTTTATTTTCATGTTACATAATTCTAACACAACAAAAACCAGAGCCTGGTGCTGGCTGAAGCCTGCAGCTCCCTCATCTAATCCGAGCTGTCCAGCCACACCCCCGTCCTTATACAACAGCTGCACCTTGCAGATATTGTGTCCAATGCATTCTTTCACATATTTTAAGTTCTATCTACTTGTCTAATTTGGCATCAATACCCAAGGCAGTTTACCAGGGTTGAGAACAAATTTTTTGCTTCCTGCACATAGGTGGGAAGACATGGGGGCAACAAGAGAGAACATGGGTGGGGGGAAATCAAATCAGTATCTTAGATGTCTGTATACTAATATGAGAAGTATGGGGAATAAGCAGAAAGAACTAGAAATGCTAGTTAATAAACACAACTATGACATAACTGGCATCACAGAGACTTGGGGAGACAATGTACATGACTGGAATATTGGTATAGAAGGGTACAGCTTGCTCAGGAAGGACAGGCAGGGAAAAAAGGGAGGAGGTGTTGCCTCATATATCAAAAATGTGTACACACTTGGAGTGAGGTTGAGATGGAAATAGGAGGCAGACTTGCTGAAAGTCTCTGGGTATGGATTAAAGGGGTAAAAAATAGGTTGATGTCATGGTAGGGGTCTACTACAGCTCACCTAATGAGGAAGAAGAAGTGGATTAGGCGCTTTTTTTTAAACAACTAACAAAATCATCCAAAGCACAGGATTTGGTGTTGATGGTGGGTTTCAACTACCCAGACATCTGTTGAGAAAATAACACAGCAGGGCACAGATTATCCAACAAGTTCTTGGAATGTATTGGAGACAATTTTTTATTTCAGAAGGTGGAGAAAGCTACTAGTGGAGAAGTTGTTCTAGATTTGATTTTGACAAGTAAGGAAGAACTGGTTGAGAATTTGAAAGTGGAAGGCAGCTTGGGTGAAAGTGATCATGAAATGATAGAGTTCATGATTATAAGGAATGGTAGGAGGGAAAACAGCACAATAAAGATAATGGATTTCAAGAAAGCAAACTTTAGCAAACTCAGGGAGTTGATCCCATGGGAAGCCAGTCTAAGGGGAAAAACAGTTCACGAGAGTTGGCAGTTTTTCAGTTTCATTATTAAGGGCACAAGAGCAAACTATTCCACTGCGAAGGAAAGATAGGAAGTACGGCAGGAGACTACCCTGTCTTAACCAGGAGATCTTCAATTATCTGAAACTCAAAAAAGAGTCCTACAAAAAGTGGAAACTAAGTCAAATTGCAAAGGATGAATATAAACAAATAATACAAGTATGTAGGGAGAAAATTAGAAAGGCCAAGGCACAAAATGAGATTAAACTAGCTAGAGACATAAAGGATAACAAGAAAGCATTCGACAAATACATTAGGAGCAAGAGGAAGACCAAGAATAGCGTAGGCCCATTACTCAGTGAGGGGGGGAAAGCAATAACAGAAGATGTTGAAGTGGCAGAAGTGCTAAATGACTTTTTTGTTTGTTTTCACCAAAAAGGTTAGTAGCAATTGGATATCTAACATAGTAAATGCCAGTGAAAATAAGATAGGATCAGAGGCTAAATTAGGGAAATAACAAGTTTAAAATTACTTAGACAAATTAGATGTCTTTAAGTCATGAGTGCCTGATGAAATACATCATAGGATACTCGAGCTGACAAAGGAGATATCTGAGCCATTGGTGATTATCTTTGAAAACTCATGGAAGATGGGAGAGATTCCAGAAGCCTGGAAGAGGGCAAATATAGTGCCAATCTATAAAAAGGGGAATAAGGACAACCCGGGGAATTACAGACCACTCAGCTTAACTTCCGTACCCAGAAAGATAATGCAGCAAATAGTTAAGCAATCAATTTGCAAACATCTAAAAGATAATAAGGTGATAAATAACAGTCAGCTTGGATTCGCCAAGAACAAATCATATCAAACCAACCTAGTAGCTTTCTTTGACAACGTAACAAGCCTTGTGGATAGGGGGGAAGTGGTAAATGCAGTATATCTTAACTTTAGTAGGGCTTTTGATACTGTCTCGCATGACCATCTCATAAACAAATTAAGGAAATACCATCTAGACTGAGCTACGATAAGATGGATGTATAATTGGTTGGAAAACTGTTCCCAGAGAGTAGTTATCAGTGGGTCACAGTCAAGCTGGAAGGACATATCAAGTGGGGTCCCACAGGGATCAGGTCTGGTTTTGTTCAATATCTTAATCAATGATTTAGATAATGGCATAAAGAATAGACTTATAAAGTTTGGAGACGATACCAAGCTGGGAGGGTTTGCAAGTGCTTTGGAGGATAGGATTAAAATTCAGCATGATCTGGACAAACTGGAGAAATGGTCTGAAGTAAATAGGATGAAATTCAATAAGGACAAATGCCAAGAACTCCAATTAGGAAGGAACAATCAGTTGCACACGTACAAAATGGGAAATGACTGCCTCAGATGGTGTACTGCAGAAGGGAATCTGGGGTCATAGTGGATCACAAGCTAAATTTGAGTCAACAGTGTGACACTGTTGCAAAAAAAGCAAAGATAATTCTGGGATGTATTAGCAGGAGTGTTGTAAGCAAGACATAAGAAGTAAAATTCTTCCGCTCTACTCCACACTCATTTGGCCTCAACTGGAGCATTGTGTACAGTTCTGGATGCCACATTTCAGGAAAGATGTGGACAAATTGGAGAAAGTCCAGAGAAAAGCAACAACAATTATTAAAGGTCTAGAAAACATGACCTGTGAGGGAAGATTGAAAAAATTGGGTTTGTTTAGTCTGCAGAAGAGAAACTGAGGGAGGACATGACAACAGTTTTCAAGTACATAAAAGGTTCTACAGAAGGAGGAGGGAGAAAAATTGTCCTCAGTAACCTCTGCAGCTAGGACAAGAAGCAATGGGTTTAAATTGCAGCAAGGGCAGTTTAGGTTGGACATTTAGGAAAAACTTCCTAATTGTCAGAGTAGTTGAGCACTGGAATAACTTGCCTAAGGAGAAGAACAGGAGTACTTGTGG